GGGTATCTGCTCAACGGCAGTTAAGTCAGGCGAGCAATCCCAAACGGCAGTTAAGTTGGCTTAAGAAGAAGGGCTTAATTGCATTGATCCCAGAGTTCAAGGGCTTAATTGCTTTGATCCCAGAGTTCAAGGGCTTAATTGCTTTGATCCCAGAGTTTAAGGGCTTAACTGCATCAATTAAAGTCTAAGAGCTTAATAGCAATTCTGGGGTTCGTTCAGGGACTTAACATATGGTTTTGCCAAAATGTAAACCCAGGGTCAAAAATTTTGGCACGCGCAGCTCTAACCGCTTTAGATGTTGGGCAGCGCAGCAAGATTAAGACTTTAGCTTTAATTTTTGTAAAATTAATCTTATTTTCAATTTTATATGTTAAAAAAAAAAGGTCAAAAATTTTGATAAACAGAAAATGTTGTCTGAAAAAACAAAAGAACTGACTCAAGTGAAGTGACAGAGAGGCCCCACAAAATGACACGTGACTTAAATAGATGCATTAGAAGAAACTGTACAGGACACGTGGGCTTGTATCTTGCAACAAAAAATCTTTCACAAGAAGAAATTGCAACAATTCCTAGGTTAATCTCTAAATACTAAATTTATTTCATTTTTAAAATTCAGCCTCAAGACTTTTTCTTGAGCTAATTAAGCCCTTAAATCTTGTGATTTTACTAGTTAAGGCCAAAGTGGTTAAAATTGATCACATTACTATCATCTAAAAGCCATTTTAATTAATGTGAGTTTCAACCAATGATATCAAGCAAAAATAACCTTACACACAAAAATCTTTTATTGAATTTGAGGTTTTAAGTTAGTACCTAAACTAGTAGTGCAATTTAGATAGATTTATCAAACTCAAGTTTTTTTACTTTATGTTCACATAAGCTTAGTTTTGACTATACAACTTGGCATGTTGAAGGTTCACCTAATTTAGTGGTGAAGGAAAAAGAATATTTGGGCCTTATATTTGATACGCTAGATGCTAGTTCACACCTTTACTTAGACCAGCTCAATAACCATTACAATCTTTTCTTGCCTCATTCACAAGTGGCTTTTTTTTAGGTTGCAAGCCTAAGGTAGTATTGTCTTCCCTTAATAAGTTAGATATAGACGTGTTAACTTTGTCTTGAACAACTTAGGTTATAAAAAGGTTTTTCTTCCCCAAACCAAAGTTAGTTCTCATTCAACACCAAAAACCTCTCATTCCTCTCCATTGTTGCCTCTCTTATCCATCACTAAAATATTGTTGACTTGAATGTTTTAAAGGAAATGACCTTTGATGCACACATTTATAAACTTTCTTATTTCCTCTATGCAATATAGGTTAACTTTTCAAGGATTCTAATTTTTTTGCCTAATTCTAGAATTCAAGTTATAAGTAATAACAATGAAATTTTTCTTCTTTTCGATGTTATGTGACACCTTAGTAGACATGAACAATGGAATTTTCCTCGCTCATCACTATATTAGTTTTTGTGTAGGAAAAAGGATTATTTAGACAAGTCTCAACAACAACAATATGAGTTATACAGTTATGTAACTATTTGTTAACTTCAATTTAGCTAGCCAAATGTATTGTAAAAGTGTCAAATTAGCTCCAAGATAAATTTAAATGCTTTATTTAAAAGAAAAAGTTTTGGGGCCTAACTTAATAGTTTTTCAAAAAGGGAGAATGAAAAAATAAAAAAAGAAAGAGCAAAACACAAAAAATTGACACTGCTTGCCGCAACACGCGGCGAAGCGGAGGTTTACTCTCCGCCACTACTGTCTCTCAGTGGCTACCGTCTCTTTGTTACCCAAAATAAATAAATAAAATAATATAAAATAAAAGCCCAAAAAATCCTCTGGTCCCTAATCCGTTTCGTCTGGCGGGCGTAAGGTAGGCTGTTTTTATTTTATTTTATTGAAAAAAAAAAAAAAAAAAACTCATTAAATCAAGAGAAGTAATTTATTATCTTCTGTTCTTCAATCCAAGCGTTTCTTCTTCCCCCTGTTTTGTTTGGTTTTCCTCTCTCTGTTTTCACTTTCACCCTTTTTGTTGACTCAATGAAAAAAAGGAAAGTGAATTTTGGATAGCATACTCAGTTGATCGTGGTTTCTATATTTGTGGAGGAACGAGAAAAATTAACAAGTCTGAGATCGCACGCTTTTTCTACGATCTCTCCCTTTCCTATTTGAGTAATTCTGTGCACATTTTAAGTTCTAATCCCCGCAGTTTGTCTCTGAATGAAGTGAAAGCCAAACCGAGCCGTCACCGCCTCCGCCTCCAGTGAAGATTCCAGAATCAGCAATGCGCGCTATAGTCGGGAATCTGGACCGTTTTCTCGACTCCGTCACTCCTAATCCTCCTTCTCGCTACCTTCACAAGGTACTTTCTTCAATTCTCCCCCGAATTTGTTAAAAAAAAGTTTAGAAGATGAGAAATTTCAGCTATCAAAAATTTTTTTTTTTTAGTTCTTTCTCCTTTCTCCGATTTTTTCTGAAAAGAAAAACGAAGATTTTATATTTTCATCTTCTCTTCTGTAATTTGATAAACTCATGATCCGAAAAGTTGATTTTGATTTCGTTTTTATTTTCTTTTTTTAGAAAAAAATCTTATTTGTGTTGTTTATTTTGATTTTTTTATGATTGTTTTTTTATTTCTGTGGGAGCAGATCACGTTTTTTTTGTCTGGGAAGTGAGAAACAGTACTTGAATAATTTTATTAATTTATCGATTTATTTAAAGTATTATTAAGTCGTGATTCAGGAAATCACATATACTAATGGCACCGTAATTTTATGCGAGATATGGTGAGAAACTATTTGTTGGATATGATTTGAGAATTGAGAGTGATTGAGGAGTCTCAATGAGAGATAGAGCTTGTCCGTTTGTCCAATCTCAACTGGGCCAAAGCCGGCCATAGGCCCACTATTATTCTGTAGATGCCGGGAATATTCCTTAATTTATAATTTTTTCTCTTTTTTTTTTTTTATAATTTTAATTTTGTTTTAGAGCTGTGTGAAAACAGGATGAAGTCATTGTCGTGGCGGTCTTAGGCGTATTGGTTTAGCTTAGCTTTTTATATTACTATTTATAAATTATATGTTTAAATTTTTATTAAAGAAAAAATTTAAAAATTATTTTTATAAATAATAAAAAATAAGTAAAAATTGAGTAAAATAAAAATGTATAAAAAATAAAAATTTAAAACTTTAAAAAATTTTTTATTTAAGATTTTTTAAAAATTAAAAAAAATTAAAAAATATAAATTTAAAAAAATTTTAATTTATAAAATATAAATAATATCAAAAAAATTAAATCACTTACCCACTTGATCACACGTGCTCTTGATATGTTGACTTCTGGAATTTAGCAGTTAATTTTTTTTTCCCTTAGCTGCACGTTGTGTTTATTTTTTTTTTACAAATAGTTTCTTTTGATTACAAGATCAATTAATTATTTAACCTTGAGATTAATAATGTAAAATCTATTTCAAATCCAAACCTTTGGTACCTTGCTCCAAGGCTTTCAGGACGAGTAATGGCGTGCTGGATGAACGTAGAAAAATAGTGATTTAACAATAAAATCTTGCAACATAACGTGATATAATTTTTATATTGGGACGCGTGATCTTGTATTCATTCAAAAGAATTTTATTGTCAAAAAAAATCAAAACCAGATGAACATACTTAGTGTGTTTGTGAGATTAGATTAAAAAATTAACAATAATATTAATAACTGCTAAGTATTTCATTCATAAAGCTATATTTAAATGGCATGTATTGGTGGTACTGGATTGATCATCATAAAGTACATATTATTTATTTGAAAGATTATATTCCTACAAAACATAAAATGACGAGTTATCCATAATCATATTTTGTAATTTTGATAAAATAGAAGGTTTTTGTGCTCCACCTATGAAAAGCATTTTATTTGTGAAAAAATGGACCTGTGTATACTTTAGGATGTAAAATTCTTTTAATCTTGGAGGTGGTGGAAAAAAATAATATGAGTAGATGGCAGCTTATCTGTTGTCTAAAAAGGAAAACTCCTAACTGTTATTATACACTTGGTGTTTCGGTTTCTTTCTTATAAGATGGTCGATTCCAATTAGAAAATGGAAATGCTGACTGTGGTATGTCCTTTTGTTAAGTTTCAGAATCTATACATTTTCCTACTTCCTCCTTTTAAGAGAATGAATAATTATTACTCATTACAGCATCCGTATGACAGAGCTTATTACTGTTGAGATCTTTTATGAAATATTTTTGTTCTTGATCAACCTATGCTAGTATAATTTTCCATTTTGGAAAAATTTCAGTGTGATTCTCATTTTGTTTTTATTTTTTCCTCTAGCTTTAACCAATTTATTTATGTCACTTATGTTCGGCAGAGCTGTGTGCATGATCTAAACAGCCTCTGGGAGCCAATTAGCAAGGATGTTGTTGAATATTACACTTTGGGAGATCTTTGGAATTGCTATGAAGAATGGAGTGCATATGGTGTTGGGACTGATGTGGTTTTGAACAATGGTGACTGTGTTACCCAATACTATGTTCCGTATCTATCAGCTATTCAGATTTACACTAACAAGTTTGGTTCAGCTTCCAGGTTTCAAACAATTCCCGCTTTTGCTATGTGTATAAATTTTGTCATGTATCCATTTTTGTATGTTGTTACTGCCAATGAGAGAGCTGTCATACTTGTCATCTTTGCAGAATCCCAAAGCAAGATAATGATGAAGTAGAATTTGAAAGTGATTCCTGGAGTGATGACAGCACAAGTGACAAACTATCAAGGTCTCCAAGCAACAACTCCAGCAGAACTTGGGATGCCACTTCTGAAGATTCAAATTCAGACCAAGATGCTTCATGGCAACTGAAGGATAAGTTTGGCTACCGTTACTTACAGTATTTTGAGATCTCATGTCCTTACTGGAGGGTTCCACTTAAGGACAAGGTAAGGCTTTATGGGGTTTTTCTCATTATAATTTATAAAATATGACATTTTGTTTGTCAGTGCCGTGGTACATAAGGGTAAAGTTCTCCATATGGTATACATTTTAATGCTGCAACCTTAAAAGGAAGTCAGTCAAATGGTTGTTTTCCATTTTTTTTTTTTTTTTCACTTCATTCCATTTCCATTTGGTAAATAATTTTCTGAATGGTTCTTCAATTCAGGTAACTGAATTATCTCAGCATTATCCTAGACTAATGACGCTGAGGAGTGTGGATCTTGCTCCAGCAAGTTGGATAGCTGTAGCATGGTAATTTTGATACACATAGCCTGTAATATTATAATTGCAGTAATGGTGTGTTAAATTAATTAATCTTGAGGCTGCATTGATCAAATACCCAACTCTGATCTGCATTTACCGTATCCTTGACTGGCTGGTAGCAGATCATCTTTCTGTCCCTGCCCAGGTGTAATAATTAAAGTTATAAATGAGAGGACTTCATACACTCACTGATAAGATGGACTGCTGCATTTCCTTCTATGACTTGTGATTGGTGACTCACGTCTTGACAAAGATTTTCATATGTTGAGAGCTCCATAGACAGTAAAAAGAGCTTTTACTGGCATCAATATGAAACAGAAGAAAAAGAAAAGACTGAAAAAAAAACAAACATTATTATGGACATTTTTTCTTTGCTCTACTTTCATAGATTGGATAAATCTAGTTTATGGCTGCTTGTGTGTAGATATTTAATTTATTCTTTCTGCACTAGCATTTTTTATTTTTTTGTGTGAGTGAAGTTTTTCTTATAATGTTCTCCTTGGGTGATGTTTTGGTTTCTAATCTGTTTGATAATACAAATTAAATTGTATGATATTTTTTGTTAACAGGTATCCTATATATCATATTCCATCTCAACGAAATGACAAGGACTTGTGTGCTTGCTTCCTCACTTTCCATACACTATCCTCGTGTTTCCTAGGTATAATACTCTCATTCTTTAGACACTTCATTCAGACAAGGTTTAACCCATAAAGACATGGTTTTAGAGTTCAATTTTGATGTAGTATTTCCAATTCTCCATTTTTTTTGGCTTTAGTACAATGCTTTCACAATGAATAGTGAAGGATAGAATTATTGCAAACTCTATCTTCTGGTTTAAAGAGTAAATGTTGACAGAGTTAGTTTGTATCTTACTTTTCCAAATAGTTAATGGATGGTACCTTTCTAAGTTGACTACAATATTGTAGTCTTTCTTCTGAGTCACTATCGAGTCCCCATTAAGTCACAGAATAAAGATCAAAAGATTTATGATGGTTTATATAGGATCAATTGAGTGATAAAACAAAAGGGTTTTATAGAAGTTTATGAAGCCCAATGGAGGATGTTGCCTGCGGTTCATGGATCTCAGTATCATTGTTGTAATGCTTTCAGTTAGGCTTTTGATTGCTACCGCTTTGATAAATGCTTTTTTTTATATTCTATGCGTGTTCTTTCTCAATTGATATACTATATTCTAGTATATAAATTCTCTTAATCAGTCACTTAAGTATTCTTTTGTTTTCGGCATGATTATGCAGATAGCGGTGTCGAGCACTACAACATTTCAGGGAAGGAAACTCACTATTCTAAAGAAGTGAAAGAAAAAGAAATCAGCGCAGTCAAGATTTCACTTTCTCCCTTTGGCCTTGCAACTCACAAGATGCAAGGAGATCTTTGGGTAAAACCAGACACCCTTGAGCATGAAAACATGGAAAATCTTAAAAGTGCTGCATCTTCATGGTTGAAGCAGCTTGAAATCGAACACCACGACTTTAAATATTTTAAGTTGCACACTGCCGTGTAAATTAGCATGTGTTTATGACTCCGTTTTATTTCAATCTCCTAGCTACCACTTTTTAAAAATTCCCCAATTCCAGCTTTTGTGCTCAGTAATTTAGCCATGAGGTTGGCTATGTGTAATCAATGCAAACCGATGGTTTGTTGTAGGAAGTTTTGTGCTGGGGGGTTTTAGCGGACTGAGTCGTTTTATTTAGGTTGAGGGGCTTTTGACAGAAAAATGGAGAAGTTTGGAACTTGTAAAAGTATATGGCTCTTTTGTAGTTCAAATTTTGCTTTTCAACGTCTTTTCCCATTCAAGAGCCATGTTAGACATGGTTATAACTTTTGATATGTAGCCATGTATGGTAAAAGACGTTAGGTGTTTAAACCTTCAACTCTTTTGTTTTTAAATCTAATGTTTAAGGATCATGATTGGTGCACACCTGGATCTTACACCTGAATGTGCACTCTCCACATAAAAAAAAAAAATTGGATCTCACACTTGGGTGTGCATCCCCCACATAAAAAAAAAATTGAACCGAGTGATGGACATTTTTTTTTTTGTTTATATGGGGGTGCACACCCGGGTGTGGGATTCAGGTGTGCACCCATTATTTTCCAATGTTTAAATATCTAAAAGGTTTCCTCATTTGTAGGTGAGGATTTGAACTTGTGTAATTCCCCTCCTCCCCACCTCTTTCATAGGTTGAACCACAAAAAATTTAAGGTCTAAATATATTAAGAATCACTAATTTAACATTTCACACAAACCTTAATAGCAAAATGTCTATCAAAATACATTCAATCTAGGGCTTTCGGTATTTTTTTTATTATTATTATCATGTTTGAGAAATATTAGTGATAATTTTTGCGTGCACTTTGAATCAATACTTAGAATATGATTAGTTTATGTGATATATATATTTATTAATTCACATGATTGATTAAGTTATTTAAATTTAAAATCATTAACACATAACCAATTATGTCGTGAGTAATATATTTTATAAGAAACTTACTTACAATTATTATAGTTATGAATGAATTGAATTATTTATGAGTTATTTAACTCTAAATTCTACTTTAAACTTAAATTGAAACTCAAAAATATTTATGAAGGAAAGGTAAAGTAAAGCCTACAAGCTTGTAAGCTCCTTGAGCTTGAATTTGAATTTAATTAAAAAATTAATTATATAATTATATAATTATATTTATTTAAACCCACTCAAATTCATGAGTCCAACTCAAGCTCACTATTTAAGCTCGAGTATTGAGCTACTCAGCTCATTTCGTTTATAGCCTATTTACAAATGGGTGGGTTGCTAGGGTTGGGTTGGAATTGAGTAACCTTGATCACAGGTCCAAAATCTTGAAACCTCGAATAGAAACTCATAGCGGAATCAATGTCCACCAATTGCACTATGCTGCCGGTTGAATTAAATAATTTGTGAGGTAGAAAAGATAACCCATAAGTCCATAACCAACCAATTTCATGGGTTTAGAGTTTAGCCCTAACGTATGAGTTCGCAGTTAAATAATTAAGGTAAAAATGAATTGTAGTGCAGGGGACCTTACAATATATGAAAATTAACTTTAATAAGCGCTTATTTTCTTATGGAAAAAAAGGTAAATTTTTAATAAATAAATGAGTTGCTATAGAACTCTAACGGTAGTCACTATAACTCGTTTTAAACAAATAGAATAAGATTGAATTTGCTAGTTAGATCAATTTTTGCCATATCTATCCATAAATAATTTAATCCAAAAGTTTAGACTCAATTACTAATAAATGTTATCTTGCGCCAGATTCAGGATTTGCGAGGTAGAAAAGATAACCCATGACCCACCAATTTCATAGATTCACAGTTTAACCATACCACACAAGTTCTTGGTCAAATAACCAGGGAAAAAATGGATTATAGTCAAGGGGACCTTACAGGACATGAAAACTCACCTTAATCAATGGTAATTTTCTTACGAAAAATGTAAATTGAGATAAATTTTCAATAAATGACAAGTGAGTTATTAGAGAATTTTGATAGTATTTACCACAATGCATTTTAAATAAACATGATAAGATTGAATTTGCTTGTTAGATCAAATTTTGCCATATCTACTAGCAAATAACCTAATCCAAAAGTTAGATTCACTTGCTAATAAATGCTGTCCTATACCAAATTGAGGATTCACCCTTTTCAATCTACTTAAATATATAATGATAATGTTATAATTATAATGCTATATAGGATTATAAACTTACAATCATGATATGACATTAAATGAGTATGACATAACATTAAATGAGTGCATATATATAATTAATATCACGAGTGAACCCATTAACGAAAAGAGTCAATTATATAATAATATATTATGTTATAAGTTTATAATACCTCATGATTTTATAACTATAATATTTTTAAATTTATAATATTGTTTACATTCATTAATTTAGTGACATATATAAATTATCATTTCCCTAAGAGCATGTACAATAAGAGTTATCTTCTATTGTTCACTTAAAAATAAGATAGAGACACAACTTTAACCTATTAGAACATGTTAAACGAAAAAACTTTGTTCCCTACACTAAACATGTTCTGATCTAATTTTATTTTATTTTAAAATTATATTTTAAAGTATAAAAGTACTTTGTGGGATGCAGATCCTGATATCATGTTAGGCACTGCATTTTTTTTATCCAATGGCTATTAAGCTGTTGGATCATTTTTTTTTTTTTTTTTTTTTTTTTTTTTTTTTTAATTTCGTCTTTTATTCAACTCAAATTTTTATTTAAATATATTTTTTGGAACAATTATTTAAACATCTATAATGTAAATTTAGTAAAATATTATTAATGCAAATTTAAAGAAATTCTATGGATAGGAAAGAAGGTATTTTATTAGGAGTTCTATTTGAAAGCTACGATGAGTTGAATTTTTATATTTATTAACGTAAAATTTTTTTCTTAATATTATTGATATTTGGATACATTTTATAAAATTTTACTACATTTTATAAAATTTTACTTGATTTTACATAATTTTCATCCTTTATACAAAAAAGGACTTAATTGCTAGACATAATAATTTTTAGGACTGAAATGCAGAGATAAAAAAATATGAGGATTAAAGTGTGCAGAAACTAGAAGTTAGGGATCCGTACAGTTAGTTTTCCATTAAGTAAATTGCATTTTGGCCAAAATTCCCGACTCCGACTTGTTGCCCAGCATTTGCTAAAGGCATTGCACTTTTAGTTTAGTTTAGTTTACGATGTCGGCCCCTTGGGTAATTTTCAGCAAACACTTCAATATTTTTGTTGTGAATTCTTGCCTGATATATATCATTTCAAATATTAATATTTTCATTGTAAGCTAATTTAATCACTTAAGATATGATTTAACTTAATCAATTTAATATAAATTTTGTGATCTTTATATTTTTAATTAAAATTATTTAAATAATAAAATTTTATTATTAAGCTTAATATTTGAAAATTTTAATCATATTTTGATTAATTATGTAATTTATGTATGAATTTGAGAAATAGTTATATGATTTAAACTAATAATAGTATAAATCATATGTGATGTTATGATATTAAGATGTAATTAGCGTCATATATAGTAATAAGGTAAGGAAAGAGAGTTAGAAGCTAGCTTTTTTTAAATTGAAGACTTTTACATTACTTAATGTTCACCATTTTATTTTAACTTATATAAAAATATGATTATTTTAATAAGTAGAGGAATGATTAACTTGAAAAAATTAGTTTGTTAATTTAAGAGAATTTGTTATCACATGTAATAATATTCAATAAATTAGTTTTAAAAACATATTAATTTAAAATATATATTAATCGATTATAGTGAAATTGAATGCCTTGGTATCTCGTATTTTAATTAATTAATTTTAATTGTTATTTTTAATTATAAATTCTTTCTAATTTGTGCAAATAAATCTTGACTTAATTGTTTTTTATGTTTAGTTAATTGCAATTTTTGAATTTGATATTTGTTGAGGGATGAATTTGTATGGTTATCGAATTAATGACATATGCATATCCACATCAGCAAAGGCCCACAGCATTAATTTTCCATGTCAGATACGCAATTCCTATTTTCTACTAATTATTGCAATGGAATCAGTATCGCCAGAAACAACACTTACGCACTTCACTGGAAACATTGCAAGATATAGTCGATCTTAGCATTTACTTTTACATACATGGCCAGACATGGCTAGGTTTATTTCAGCAACATGGCTGGACATTTTTTACGGTCATGTCCTTTACAGTGATACTCACTGTTGCATCTTGCGGCTCCCAATAATGGATAAAGAGCCGACTTCATTATACATGACTCCCATCAATGGACAACGAGCCACATCTACACAGCTCCCAGCGATGGATAAAGGACCAGGTTTGCTATCTCATCTAGCTTTCAGCAAAGGACAAAAGGCTACATATTTCTACATATCTTCATTACACTAGCTCCTAACAATGGACAAAGGGTCGGATCTCTACATATTCTATCTCACTGGCTTCCAAAAATGGACAAAGAGTCAGTGCAACACGGTACGATTAGTGTGAGGTCGGTAACAATTGCAACCCTACAATCGGAGACAATTGCTACCCTCCAACGATAAAAATCCATCAAATAGCGGCCAACGGTCTCATGGTGGTCGCCTGTGCATGGTGTTGTGGTGCTTGCTGGGCAACAACAATCATGACCATTCTCTGACAGTGTGGGTACGACAAGAAGGACTAACGTTTGTCAGCAGTTTGACACCTTGTCCTATCGAAAGCCATGGATGCGGCTGGCATTCCCCTTCCATGGAGACAACTCCACCTCTCTCTAACTCATAATCATTATTATGGTGGAGTTTGGTTTAGTGAGATTTACCCTTTCGTGAGTTGGCGGATCAGTGGAAATGCTCCTCCGATTCCACATAGTTCATGCTCCAACCATGGGCAAAACTAGCCATTGTTGTCCCTTTGCTTATAAGGAAGCTATTTATGGCTGACCCTGCAATACTTATACGAAATGGCTGACGGTCATGCACAGTATCTTTCTTCTATACAAAGGGACAAAATTACCGACCGCCAATAATCCCAACTTATAACACATATTTTTTATATTTTACATGTTAGTAGGTATCACAAACCAACAATGATTGGCTCGGGACAACGATATCATGGCACGCACCCAAATCACTTATTCTTTATTCTGGCGCAATGCCAACCATGTACAGTAGTGATGTACTAGCACTCGCCACGGCTAACAAACAAAAAGGGCACAACAAATATCCATACGCATTGTCCCTTTCAATACACGAGGGAGTTCCCCTCTTCGCTGCATGTATTTATATATTTCTTACATTTAAATACTTGAACATATGTTCACATGTGCCTTGTTGTCATTGTAGATAAACAAAAGCCCATGAATCCAAGCTCATGGGAATTATTCGGGATAAAATATGAGAATAGTGGCTTGGCAGGTATGGATTGGTGAACGTTGCCTATCTGGCGAAACAAGGCATTTGCGTTGGCGAAGCTTGGCGCTGGTGATGTTGCCCAACTTTGCCAAAAAGGGTTGGGTGGCAAAGCCATGAAAGTAAACTTGACTCATGAAATAATACCCTTTGATGTTAACTAGAGGCTTGAAATTCCATTAAAAACCAACCAGAGATGCTGTTTTGGTCACCATCAACAACTTGCAACCACGTTCAATGCAAAGGTGGCTGCACAAGTTTCATGGCCTTGAAAACTGTTGAAAAAGATTGTCTTTTGCTTGGAAAATCTTCCAGAATCTCGTGTAGAGCTTGGGGAACCCACAAAATCCTGTGCAGGTGTTGTTTTTGCCAGCTACACTCAAGCATTTCCCCAAAAATGGAATTTCGTATGGTTAGAAGAATTACTAGAAACAAGCAGTTTTTAGTCCATCCTAGAACCAACAAAGTTTCGCCAGAACCACTGGATAGTTCATAATGTCACTGCCAAAAGGTTGTCAACAGCATCCAAAGCCACTCAAAGCTTGACAGCTCACCCAAACCCACTTGAACATCTCTGACCCATTAACTAGAAATTACAAAAATGCCATTGCCCTTATATATATTACTTTTCCTTCATTTTTAAAGGAGAATAGATTTTCCAATTCCAATTTGCTTCCTCACATAGTAGACCTCTATTTCCCCTGAAAAAAAAACTTCCTCATCCTCACCCACTCACTCCACACACCAAAACCACCCATAACTCATCATTTCCCCACATTTTCTGTATATTCAGCACTGTAGAATATTTTCCAACATTGCAAAGTACTTTCCAAATTTGCAAGACATCGTGGTTGGGAGATAGCATGCTGCAATTTCAGTTTCTGGCTAGTCTTTCTTGAGCATCAAAGGATCAAGCTGCCAAGGTTAACATCAAGGACGGGATCAAGTATTCTACTCCCAAGCCCCCAAAGCGGTCATCCATCCTTCTCCCATCACCAATTCTAAGTTTATCCCTTTTCATACGTGAAAGAATTTCAAGAGGGGACTTCATCTTCAACATGAGAGTTGTTTGTTGTAGAGTGAAGACATTTACTAGAAACGATAGAGGTCACCTTTATTGTCATTATTATTATGTCACAATATTTTATGTATGAAGGTGATTCCTAAGTTGTAATCTTTAAACCTCATGTATTTTCCATCTTTGCTACCTCTTCGACAACGTACATCCTCTTTCCATTAATTTTGGTAGTTGTGTAATCATCCTGAGTTCTTGAGTTTCCATCATAGCTGCCTAGCTCTACCGGCTTGGTTGGAAGATTTATAATTTTTAACTTTGCTGGAGAGTTCGTTGTAGGATATCATCATTGGACAAAACAAGATGACCTGTAGCACGTAGCCTTTTGCACGTAACCTTTTGCACGTGAGATGGGGATCGCCAAAAGAACCCTCCTCATTCCTTTTTATGGGTGGCATCCAAGTTGACCTCTACGTCATTCTCGTTGCTAACTCATCATCCTATATCACCGACACACCCCAACAATATTTTATTCATCATTATATTATTTAGAGTGACTAATATTACTGTTAGAGTAAATTTAGTGCATCAAGTTAAATATATAAAAATATAATTTTATATAACATATTATGAATTGTAAAAATATGGTCTCCAAGTAACTTTTTTTTTAAAATTTTTTATATTTATCATTAAGAAATTTTTTAATTAACTTTTGCACACCTCTTTTTAAAAGTGTACCTCTATTAATTTTAGGTTAAACCCCCATTTTGGTCCCTCAACTATTGTACGGACCCCCGATTCAGTCCCTCAACTCAAAAAATCCCTGATTTGGTCCCTACTGTTTACCATTTTGACCCCAA